TGGAGCGTCTACGTGGAACGTCTAAGGAAGGAACGCCGACGGAGACTCAAGATGGGGGTAAAAAGCCTGTTGGAACGCCGACGGGCGGCGTTCCAGAAGTGGTTGCTGGTGAGACCGTGCGACCAGTAGTGGAGGGAACAACTCGGCGAGGGCGCCGAGGGTCGGTCGGGGAGAATTGTCACGGTCTACAGCTAGGAGGAGGTCTCGCCATTCTCGCGGACTGCATCCAGAAGGTCTGCTCAATACAGGGTCAAAGAGCTACATCCGACAAGACAGGACAAGAGGAGCAGACGTCGGCGTTCCACGTCTAGAGTGGGACCCGGATGAAGTGAATGAAGAGGTACCTCGCGGTGGACCGCTGCGTGGAAAATGTTCAAGGACAGGTAAGGAGTTTCTAGGTCGTAAGTAGAGGCTCAGTCGTGTTTTTCCTTCTTAAGAGAGAAGTACTCAGAATATATCAAGTTACATTTGGAATTATCGCTCTAGTTCTCGTTCCTACGTCGGCCAGCTAGATACACGACCCCGACACTAAGGAGGAGGACCGCGACACAAAGTTGTTGGACTGTCGGTCTTCAAGGACTGTGGCTAATTGGATCCATTTTCTCTCTTTTATATAGTTGTATCCCATAGTCTCAGAAACATGTTGCTATCCATTTGCTCCGCTAGTACCTTTGTGGGGCCTGCAGAATAAGGGTTCTACTAACAGATATTGTTGTACTAAGTACATTCAACTACGCACGTGACTGAATCTCTAATATCTATTTCTAGTATTTTTCGTTATGTAAACAGAAGTGTATTACCAGCTAAATCGAAGACAATCTAGCATTCCAATTTTGTTGTCTACCGAGTGGAGGGCACGAAATTCATACTTTTACTGCTCGAACACGTCTCCCTATTTGGAGTATCAGATCGGTATGATATGCACTGCTCCGCCTGGGATGGCTAGTACAAGGAAATGGCCGTGTGGGATCACTCACGGACACGGATCGTGTTACTGTAAACGATGACAACAAGTTTAGAAAAACGGACGTTCCATTCAGTGGCAAACACTTCGAGGATCGTCTGGCCAAGACGTGGGACACGACGCGGCCGCTTTAAAGCGCATTAAGATGCTACGTTTTGTTGGGATCTTTAGACACCACCTCTTTGCATGAATAAGTGCTGACCTGTGGCTTCGCATTTTAGGATGCGTGATGACTCACGGCCAGGAGTCAGAAACCATTGCAATGCAAAAATTATTACCGTCCAACAGTGCAAACCCAGTGTTATGTATATATACCCACCAAGTGCTAATCTTATTTCGTACTTAAACGGGTCAGTATACGGAACTTTATACGCTGGGCGATTTGGTGGAGAGAACTGCATATGAAAATTTTGAGTAGAACTCACAATATATATATAATCCTTCGAGGTAGCAAAAAAGAAATGGATTCCATTCAATTTGCGAACGTGTCGCTCCGTCACAATGATCCTATCCGTTTTAATCAACAACTGTTGAGTCAGATGAAACGCAAGCTCTATTGTTAACGGACACACGTCCGTAATCGCAACAGTATCATGGAATTAACAACTCACTTTGAAAAAATATTCTAGTTCAGAGCACACATAGGGACTATAGTATCTGCTCGCCACATTCACCGTATGCTCGAGATTCCATGGCAGGTTGCTCATTCTCCAATTTCTTCGACAACATCAAGAACTACCAGTACACTCCAACCATGGTCTCCTTGACGCGTGTCCATCTCACTTCTGCTGCTATCGCCCTCGTGGCTCTACAGCTCAGTCTGGCAACGGGCTCTCCACTGCATGAAGACCCCACCACCATTTGTGACTCGTACGACCTCGGCAACAAGAATTTTCCTGGTCGTGGGAGCGAGATTGAAGAGGACAGCAATTGTGTTGTCATCAAGCAAGGAAAACTGGCGAAAGCAACGAGTCGCAAGCTAGAGACCGCGTTAGACCGCGATATCAAAAAAAACTGGAAGACTTCTTCGGCACTAAAATGGAGACGACGCTGAAAAACTTGCCCACCTCAGCTACGTACACCCCGTCTCCGTGGAACAGCCTGCTCTGGTTCACCGTTAACGATAGTATTAACTATCAGTGGGACAGAGGCCAGCCCAGTGCTACCGAGAAGTATGCGACGGCCTTCGGTTTCGACGTGAAAACTCTCATGGACAGCGTGTCGGCCAGCAGTGGCGTTGACTCCATGAACTACAGCATTGCGTGCACCTCGGACAGCGAGTGCGACACTCCATGGGAATATTGCGGCATTCGTGCGGAGGCGAGCTCGGGCTATTGCATCCCGGCGTGGCTCGCCTTGGCCCATGCGTGGGCACCAGCCTCCATCCTAGAGAAGGAACCCAAATGCCCTGTGACGTTCAATGGTGTGACGTTCAAACCCTTGGACATTAAAGCACTATTGACGGGAATCTACGATACAGCTAATATTTCCACCGTATTCACAGGCGTTCGCTACAACGGGGGGAACTTCACCATTGACAAGTATGGTCGGAATGAAGACCCCGCGTACCGTGACTTGAACCCCGGGTTTTTCCACATCGCCGCTGCCAACATGCTTGGTAAACACAAATCCACTTTCATCATCGACAGATACGCTAGTTACGAGGTGTGGACCCAGCCCGTTGACGGCTTCAAGGTGCATGACCAGAAGGTCATGACTCCGGAGGAGGCTGCACAGACCTTCTATGGTCTCAAGGCGTACCCTTGGAACGAGGCCGCCAAGAGCATTGTGCATGTGAAATCACGTTTGTCGTGGAGCAATGCGACGTTTGCTGGTCGCGAAGCGGAAGTTGACGAACAGACTGGAACCGGGAAGGACTACGAGTACCTTTTGGAAATGGACGGCGTCGACCAGATCATTGGTGGTGAATGGCTGAACAAGTCGAACGACGACCACCCGGATTTCCTTTGGTTCCCAGAAGGCAAACCTGCCGCCGACACGGTAACGGACACCGGCTTGAGCTACGCCAACGTGACGATGTTGTTGGAGAAGTCTGTTGCATGCACCAACGCGACGGTGCTGGTTAAGTCGCTTGCGTGCTCTTATTAGACCGCTGAGAAGGCGTTGACGGTAGGCTGTGCTGAAAGGGATGCGTGCACTTTAAGGAGTTATCTTTTTCAGTGGACCAATGAAGCTTCGACTAGTACTCGAGTTGATGCAAATATGGCATAGGCGGTGCCATTCTTTTGTTTTTATTTGAAGTGTCAATGTCGTCTGAGGGACTTGGCGTGGAGAAGCCTGATTGGTGTGCTCACAAAACTCCACCACCACCTCCTGGAGATTTACGTGCTCCAATTGGCGAGTGAATTCTCAAGATCCCGAAGCAATTCACATGGTTAGCGATAAGAAGAACCGCAGGTCCTTTTGCGCCAAAGCTACATGTAAATTACTCTTACTTCAATATGTATCCATGTGACGTCTCTGCCAATCATCTAGCAAACCCCGTCAAAGATGAAAAATCAGACGATAGACGGTCGCAGATCCTGCACCTGGATTGCCATTCTCCGAGTTGATTTATCATCACCGGAAGAACATGTCGCCGCTTCGCCTCTCGCTGTTCGTGGCACTTGGTGCGTCCTGCGCTGCCGCCGTGGAGGTGAGTGTTTGCCGTGATGCGACCTACGACATCACAGTGGATGCAGCGTCACTCTGCTCGGGCTCGGGCGCGGCACCCGCGGGCTGGAGCTGCCCCAAAGCGGGCGATGTGGCTGTGGCCGACTGTCTCTCGACTCTCGCTTCGTTCGGGAGCGGGACCTGTGTGGCGCCGGAGGATGCTGTGTGCCAGGTGGTCAACGGAGACACGTGGGGATGTGTACTGCCCTCTGTGGGCTGCAACACACTGGTCGTGGTGGAGAGCGCATGTGAGACGTGGGACTACAGCGGCGATGACACGGTGGATAGCTCCGGGTCTTTTGATGGCAACGAGGACTACGACGAGAGCTGGTTTATGCAGACGACGGAGCTGAGAGAGCTCTACGACTGCGGAAATAAGCCCACGCCCGCGCCGACAACGGCGACGCCCGATCCGACCCCTGCCTCGACGGAATCCAACACGACAAAGGCGCCGGCTGCCACCACAACGCCGGCACCTACGGAGGGTAATGATAATGAGCCAGTAGCTGTGACTCCTACGCCTACAGCAACGCCGACTCCGGCACCGACGGAATGCAATGGGTCTTCTAGTAGAGCAGCGGATGTCGGAGTGACACAATACGGAGAAACAGAAGTAGGTGACGAAGAGAGTGCAGCTGGAGCCCAGACCACCGTGACCTTCGCTGCTGCAGATACTGCAGGCTTTGGGGGGCTGAGCAACGAGGTCGTGGCGGTGATTGCAGCGGCAGCGGCTTTCGCTGCTGTCATCGTGGCTGCCGTGGCTGTTGTTTACGCCAGAAAGAGGCACGTGAAGGAGGATGTGGAGGAAGGAGGCGAGGACGACGAATCTGCAGACGAAAGTGAAGAGAAGGATGAGAGCATGGAAGAAAAGGAAGAAAAGGCCGAGGTTGAAACAGAATCCACGTCTCCAGTCGTTCCGCCGACACCTGCTGTGGTGACGGGGGAGATGGCGACGACGCCCGTTGCTGCTGCTACAATGGCCAAAGTGACGACTCCGGCCACGACCCCAGCGGTGACAAGCTCATCTGACTCAACTGTGGAGATATCGTCTGACCATACGTCTGAGAGTGCAGACGACGATGCAAGGGAGATCGCCGGTACCAACTCACCCAAGGAGGAGGTTACTGTTAAGGACGACTGATAGTTGTATGCACGAACCACCACTTTAAAAGTGCCGTTCAAAGAGTGCTAGCTTCCTATCAATAATGCAGTAAAGTTTTATTCATTTGTCTAGAGCTGTAGGTCGAACATGCGAAAGTAGTAGGACGAAACCCTCAAAAGGCGCTGCACGGTAACGATATTATCCTGCAAGCCTTTTGACGTAGGTTTAATCACCAGTTAGACAAACACCCCCTGCGCTGAAGAAGTGTGCAGTAGTGGATTGTCCGAATGTGAAGCCGAACAACATGGCACATACAGTAGCTTCGAACTCGACGTTTCACGCACGCAACTTCGCTTGTAAAATTCATGATGGATCGCAAAATGTAAAGAAAAAATGTTTCATGCACACAAATGCACTACCGCAGTGGAAACCTGGAATGCACCATGCCAAAGAGATCAGAGGGGGAGAACGTATTGGTAACCCCAGTTCTCAATACGTTCAAATTGGAACTCGTTCGATCATACACAATTCAGAATAGGTTCTGCAAAGCACATTCAAAAGTGCCGTTCGTTCGAGTTCGAATGGCACTGTTGTCAACACCAGGACCTCTGGCCCAGGAGCAGGTCGGAACTGTGTGATCGCAAAGCGTTTGATCGAACTCTGTCGTTGGCACTGGCGTAACAACGGAGACCGAAAAGCTCCGTACGTCGATCACAGACTAGCGAAACTCACAAGAACTTTGGCCACCGAACCCAGCACTTCTCTACGCGAACACGCTCTTATCCGTGCACACCAACTCTGGAAGCAGACGATCTGTTCGGCTGAGCAACTACACAAAAAATATGACCTGGCCCAAATTTTGTGCCTTTGTGACAATATCAGAAGCAGACAAGTACTATTTATGCCCGTTTTATGCACCTCCACGAAAATCCAATCGACTGTTTCTGAGCCGCCGTTTTTTGATAGACGATCGCAGACGAACATTTTTTTTGGCTCCACCGCTCCAAATGTGCATTTCATCAAGCACTTTCATCAAGCCAAGATGGAGAGCTTAATCGACCGCCACCGCCTCCAATACGCAGAAGGTTGGTGAGTCGAAAGCCTGCAAATGCCGCAGTGTTATGTGGCGCGCTGAACACTTGCTGCCAGATGTTGGTCTTGCCGAATTGTCACCTGCGCCGCAAAATTTGGACCGAGAGTGGTACATGTGGCGATCGCCACTCGAAACCTCAAGGATTGGTCCGTCTATCCCAATTGTCGGCCGTTTATCGCAGAGCCGGCGGCTCCTCATTCCAGCATTTACCGCTTCCTATCGCTGAGCGCCGACTGAAAACGGCCAACTACGCTCCGCGCGGTACATACACAAACTAACAGGACAACAGGACACAGTAATGGTGCTACGCACACTCCCGCTGCTGCTCGCGGCGTTGAGCGCGTCGACCAGCGCGTCTGTGGATGTGAGCGTTTGCCGCGACGCCACCTACAGCCTTTCGATCGATGCGTCGACACTGTGCGCGGGTTCAGGCTCGGTGCCTGCGGGTTTTAGCTGCCCCAAGGCGGGCGACGTAGCTGTGGCCGACTGCCACTCGTACCTGCCGTCGTATGTGGACGGAAATTGCGTGGCGCCTGAGGACGCTGTGTGTCAGCTCGTGAACGGCGACACGTGGGGCTGCGTGCTGCCCACCGTGGGCTGCGACGGCGTCGTGGAGGTCAAACCCAAATGCGAGACCTGGGACTACGATGGAGACGACACCGTGGACTTGGACGGCTCTGGATCGTTCGATGGAAACGAGGACTACGACGAGAGCTGGTTCGTACAGACGACCGAGCTGCGTGATCTCTACAACTGTGGCGAAAGGCCCACACCCGCACCGACAACGCCCCAGGTGACGCCGGCCGCCACCACACCAGCGCCCACGCCTGCTGCCACTACGACGGCGCCCACAGCCACGCCGGCTGCTACTACCACGGCTCCTAAGGCCACGCCCGCTGCTACTACGACAGCACCGAAGGCTACGCCTGCGGCTACAACCCCCACGCCGACCCCCGCGGCGACCAACACTACCGAGACACCGTCTGCTACCCCAGCGGCTACTAAAACGACGACGCCTACGGCCACTCCAGCGGCTACGACGCCACACGGAAGCTCTTCTAGCAGTGGCTCCGAGGACGCAGAGGTCGGAGACGACGACACTGAAGTGGGAGACGATGACAGCACTACCTCGGACTCTTCGCCGGTCCAGATGTCGGCTGGTGACGTTACCAGTACCGGGGGAATCGGCGCTGCCACTGTCGCCGGTATCGCAGTAGCGGCCGCGGTTGTTGCCGTCGCTGCAGTCGCTGCGGTCTACGCCAGGAAGAGACACATGGCCAACCAGGAGGGCGACGCTGAGGCACGTCAACGCAGCGGGAGCATCGAGTACGAGATGGCCTTGACGCCACCCAATGCGATCACGACGCCGGCCATAATTACGTCCCCCAGAAGTTAAGGAGAATGACACTGAGAGAGTTTTTTTTAGCTGAGCCATCAAGACGCAGCTACGACCAGCGTGTCCATCGACACTACAATGCGTATTGCAATTTTCTAGCTGCATCATGACGCAGCAGACCAGAGGAAGCCGAAGAGAAACAATCAAATACCATTATGTGTCTAAGACTTGTATAAAACAAAACTGTATCTACTGAGTCGAAAAGGGATTTGTGAAGGTAGGAGTCGCAAAGCCCACGACGCTGCCGAACTGCTCGCTGAACGAGTTCTCGGCCTCTGCGCCCAGCTGCTGGCGCGCAGCACGGCGTTTGAGTTTGCGCCATTGCTTAGCCTTCCGTCGAGCAGCCAGAGCTGTCTGCGGGTTCAGAGCGTCCTGGGCCAACTTGGCCGCCAACTCCTTGGTCGATAGAGCAGTATGCGGCAGTGTGAAGCCTCCAGCGTCGGCTCCATCGTCTGCCATCTCCGAGTCCGACTCCATGTCGGAATCAGAATCTGAGTCGCTTTCACCCAGCATTTGGTTGATGCGAGCGGAGGCAGGTGTGGGCTCAGAAGCCGTCGTCGACGCAGATCCCATTGCCACGTCGCCACTACCGCTAGCAGCTACGGATATCGAGCACTGCGGACCGGGAATACCGCCGTTGGAGGTATCCGAGTCCGGTAGAAAGATGCTCGTCGGGTTCAGGTCCTCGTCGGCGACGTTGAATTCCTGTCCGAACGACGTCACCAGTTGCGTGTCCAGCACCTGGACGCTTTGGTCCGGAGGTGGAGTGAAGTACGGCAGTTTGCCTCGGTTCCAGTCCTGCAGCACAATGCGAGCAGCAGCCTGGCGGTCGGGGATACCTCCCTTGCCCAGCTTTCCCTTGGACTGCGCTACAAGCACCAGAAACTGCACCGCGTCTTGAAAACACTTGGAGACTATGTCTACAGACAGTTGGTAGAGCTCTGCTAGCTGCACCGGCTGACAGCGCGTCAGTAAGACCTGTACTGCTCCAACTGGATCCGCCATCGACTCGGTGTTGATGCAGTTTCGCAGCAGCAACGCGCTTGAGTCCGAGTGGTCAAACACGATACCAGGACAGTCCAGCAACTTGATCTTACTATCGATATGCACCTCCTGCATGACCTTGGTGTGGCCTGCTGTACTCGATACACTAGCAGCTTTGCTACGCTTGAGCGAGTTAATTACCGAACTCTTACCGACGTTCGGGTATCCAATGACTCCGACTGTAATGGCTGTCTTGACGCCGTGACTACGGCAGTAGTTCTTAAGCAATTGCATAAGCGCGTCCGTGCCTACGGCTTTGCTGCCACTAACAGCTTCACCCGCTGCTTTGTCTGCTCGTCCGAAGTTGGCACTGAGGTGCTTGGATTGATTCTGCGTGGACGCCTTGAAGGCCACAGTGGGGTAGAAGCCCCGAAGATATTTGAGCCACGGCTGCAGAACATGTGGAGGCACCAGGTCCACCTTGTTGAGCACCAATACCAGTTTCTTGCCGTGACGGTTACCGATAGCGTCCTCCATATCGAGCGTACGGCAGCCCATGGGGTCGCGCGCGTCCAATACCTCCAGAATGACGTCGGCCTTGTCGACTACCTTCCGAAGCTCCTTCATGTAGGCACGGCGACTCGCATCGTTGATGACCAGCTCGTCCTGTGTCTGACTCTGCGCCTGCTGAATCTGATTCTGCTCAAACTGCTGTGAGCTCTGTGCAGCACGACCTGCGAGCTCAGCCAGACTCAGGCCGGAGACGACGCCGCGGTTGCGTCCGACCTGCTGGCTGCGAAGCTGCTCGCGCTTCTGCTGTAACTTCTGAGCGTTCTGCTGCTTACCCACGAGTTTCTTTGGAGCCGTGCGGTTTTGCTGACCTATCTGGCTTTTACCACCACGAAGAGCCTGCGCAGCGATGCCCTGACGCTTAGCTCCGCGTCCGCGCGGAGGTGCCTGCTTGCGCCCCATGGCTTTGAGTGTCTTAGTGATGGCTGGAGGAGAGCTTGACGCTTTTTTGACCAGTGAAAGCGCGAGACATATTGTGTACAGTGTGGTGTGGTGCATCATGTTTGAAAGTTGTTGAAGAGAACGAGATCTTTTTACCGGACAAGTGGGCCGTTCGTCGCGTGACAACACGACCGCGCCGTTGCGTCATGGATGAACACAAAATACAGCATGGCGAAACGCGAACACATTGTTAATCCTGGTGCCACGCGATAACTTTAAATCAACGGCGCGTTAGCTGGAATCTAGCCTGGATATTCACATTTTTTTTTTGTAAGTGACCAGCACTTTTGCTAACTGCCATGACGAGTGGTGTAGTTTGTATAAGGTAGTGAAGCCAAGTGGAGCCGCTAGTAAACCGCTGCGCCTAAAAATATGCCGGTATAAGTGCACAAAGATCACGGGCTTCAACCGATCCGCTGCTCGGGCGTTAGAGCAGGAGCTCTCGGCGCCATCGCTCAGCAGATTGCAACCAGCCTATCTCAACGTCGAATCCGGCATAGAGGACGCTAACCTATTGCCGAGTGGTCTTTCAGGATCGTATTGCGCGTTTCGATGACCATGTTGGAGTCTGTGGTGCCTCCTAAGCTGCCGATCAGAGAGATTGAAGCTGCTCGTACGCCGCAAGTGATGCGGCTGGCCAAGATGACTTACGATGAACGCTCTCCACGTTTTCTGCGTCACCTTCAGGCTCTCGACCACCCAAGCAAAAGCAACTGGACAAACGCTGAGCGCATCTGCTCGGAGATGACGGCTACTGAAAAAGATTACGTGTCTGACATTACGGGGCTAGTGGAGCGCTTTCTAGATCCGCTAGCTGCTTTCGCTGACAAATATTGCAAGACAAAAGAGGAGCTCCCGGCTTTTACAGCCCTTCGGTGTGCTGCACATGTTATCCTTGGAGTTCACAAAGAGCTACTGAAGCTCATGGAGCCGCCTCAACAGCGCCGCTTTTTCACCTTTTCAAACACAAACAATTTTGGATCTGGCCCACTGGAAGCTGTGACCCGCGTCACTAATGCATTTGCTTCCACGATTGAGTATATGAAGGTGTATGCTATCTACTGCGCCAATTACTTACCTGCTACTGAAGAACTGAAGGCACATGCTAAACTTCTGGATGCCTTCACGCTATCTCAAGCGGATCCGGACAACATCGAAGCGTTTGACGCTGTATCCGACCTCATCAAGCCTGTGCAGCGGATCTGTCGATACTCACTGCTGTTTCACTCACTTGTGCAGAATGCCACATGTCCTGAGGAAGTTGAACTGGCGAAGGAGGCGTTGGAGAGCGTTCAGCGCGTCTCTGATCTCGTCAACGCTCGTGTCCGAGACGCCGAGCACAACGTACGTTTGCTGTCTATCAATGACAGCATCGACAACGCCAAGCTTTCCTCCAAGTTGGAGCTGTTACGTCCGGGGCGTAAACTGCTTTATGAAATGCCAGCAGCTGTGCAGGTGATGGATCGGAGAGCACGTTTAGCCCGAGTGCTCCACTTGCGTTCCACAAGGTTTGATCAGAACAGGTCGACTCAACAGCCCCACTGCGATACGTCTAGTGTGAACAGCGAGATGGAGCTACTTGCAGCTAACAGTGAGAGCGAGAGAGAAGAGTCTGCTTTGAGAGACAGTCTCAACTCAAATGGCCAAGAGCGCAACAAAGACCGACAACGCGTTATCCTGTTGTCAGATGCGCTGTTAATAGCTCGACGAAGCAACTCCTATCTGCGTGTTCGTCGACACATTTGTCTTTCGTGTGCTACAGTAGTTGAAGCTCAGGAGACAGACGATGATGCCGATGGCCCCGTTTCGAGTACAAAGTCCTTCGCCCTTCTGGCATCGAAGACTGGGCGTTGCAATTGCCATAACTTGAGTCCGAGTACACTTAAGAGACCCGTTAAGAGACGGTATTCCCTTTCGAGAAGCACCTCACAACTAACAGCCGAAGGCGATTCTTTGGATACGCCGTCGCCGCCTCAACCAAGACTAAACCGTAACGCGCGGCAGTATATTGTACACTGCGAGAGCGAGCAGAAGAAAAAGGAATTCATCAAGTTGCTTCGAAATGCCATAGCACAAAACGCTCGCTGTGGGGAGCCACCACGTTCGTGTGTCAGTATCGCAGCTACGAATTTGTCAGTAAAGCTGTGGCAGTCCATCAAGCAGCGAGACTTCTCGCACACATTCTCCTTAGGCTACGGCAGCTTATTGCGTCGCCATGCGAACGCTGACTGCAATAACGAAGCGGTTAATGGCAGCACAGACGAGTCCAACTCGGACCAAAACGAGCGTCTCCTTCGATCATCTCGATCAGCAACGTCAGGAGCTGCGTAATGTACGAGAGTCAATCCACATATAACTAACTTAATGTGTCGTGCAAAGGAGTCTTGTGTGTCTATATGCACGTTCCTACATGTGTATCTACATCGAGGTCTGCGGTGGTGTTCACCTGTAGTCCTACTTTACCAAAAATGAATAGTTGACCTACTCACGAGGTCGCTGTGCTCGCGTTTCAGCGGATTTCATACTTAGTTGGAGGCCACAAACTCCTTGGCAGGCTTCGTCTCCTCCACCTCAGGCTCGGTCACTTCTTTCTTCACCGAGACGGGGGCAGCCACGGGCTCTTGAACAGACTTAGGCTCTTCAATACCCAAGTCTTCAGCCTCAGCTCCGTCTTCAGACGTGGTGCTACCGTCCGACTCGTTCTCCACAGCTTCAGTCTGGTTGTCTGCTACGACAGACTTCTCGGCAGCAGTGACAGGCTCAACGGACTTCTCAATGACAGGCTCCTTGACGGTAGCTACGGTCTGGTCAACGACGGCGGGCTCCTCAGCGGGCTCCTCGACCTTCTCATCAACCGCCTTAGCAACCTTCTTCTCCACTACGGACTCAGTAGTTTTCTCCACAGCGACTTGCTGCTTCTCCACCACCACAGGCTCAACTGTCTCCTTCTCAGCGACCTGCTCGACTGGCTTCTCCGCAATAGTCTCAGTAACCTTCTCCTCAATGACGGCCTCAGCAGTCTCCTTCTCTTCGCTAGGCTCGACAATCTTGTTCTCGACCGGTTCGATAGTCTCCTCCTCAATGATCGGTTCGGTAGTCTCCTTGTCCTCGACGAGCTCGACAGTCTTCTCACTAACCTGATCAGCCGATTTCTCCTCATTAGATTCAGCAGCCTTCTCCTCCACGACGGGTGCAATAGTCGTTTCCTCGACGATCTGGTCGACGGGTTCCTCTTCCACCACCTTCTCTTCGACGACAGGCTCGACAGTCTTCTCCTCGACGACAGGCTCGATAGTCTTCTCCTTGACAATCGGTTCGACAGCCTTCTCCTCAGCGACCGGTTCGGCAGTCTTTTCCGAGATGGGATCGACAACCTTCTCAGTGGTCTGTGCGGCAGGCTCAGGCACTGTCTCCACAACCGGTTCGACCACATTCTCCTCCACAACAGGCGGGGCGATCTCCTCCACAGGTTCCTCGACAGCGGCAGTGGGTTCTTCCTCACTGACTGGATCCTTTGAGGTAACGGGGGCAGCCTCAACGGGAGCAGCTTCGGCAACTTCGTTAGCCACAGGAGCGGTAGGCTCCTCAACTTCAGTGGCAGTCTCCTCGACAACTTCAGCCGATATCTCAGCCTTCTCGAGAGCAGCAGCAACAGCAACAGGCTCCACAATAACCTCATCAGTCTCAACTGGTTCCTTAACCTCTTCGGTGGTCGCAACAGACTCCTCGGTAGTCGCAACTGGCTCTTTCACCTCAACAATCGCATCGGCAATCGTCTCGTCGGACTCGGCAGCCTCTTCAACCGCAGGCTCTTCGGCCCTCTTGTCCTCTTCAGGTATAGCAACAACCTCCTCCACCTTCTCAACAGTAGGCTCGGTAGTGATCTCCTCTGTCTTCTCAACAGTGGGCTCTTCAACCTTTTCAACAATGGGCTCTTCCACCTTCTCTACGACAGGCTCAGCCACAACTTCTTCCTTCTTGACCTCCTCACTCTTCTCTTCAACAGGCTCATCACTCTTCTCCTCCACCGCCGGCTCAGCAGTGTGTTCTTCGACGGCGTTGGTCTCTACGACAGATTCCTCAACTTTCTCAACAGGGTCAGCGACTACCTTCGCCTCGTCGACATTCTCGGCAATAGCCTGCTCGATCGTAGGATACTCAACCTCCACAACGGCAGGTTCAGTCACCTTCTCATCAACAACCGGCTCCTCGTTCTTCTCTACAGACTCAGCCTCAACAGTCGGCTGTGCAGCGTGCTCAGCAACAGGCTCCTCAACCTTCTCCTCCTCAACAGCAGGATCCTCAAACTTTTTCTCCTCCTCCTTGGGTCCCTTCTCCGAAAATACAGCCACCCTGGTGGACGCCACGTTGGGCTCCGTCGAGACGCTTGTGGGTGCGCTCACCGTCGGGTCGATGAATGAGATGTTGAAGGACGAGAAGTTGGCGCGCACACTGTCAGGAACATCGACGGCAGTCGAGCTGGGTGCCTGTTCGGTTGCGGGCGGCGCAGGTGTGTCAATCACAGGCGCGACGGGCTCCAGCGTCTTGGGGGCCTCGTCCACGTGATCATCTTCCTCCGTTTTGGGCTCCTTCTCATCCACCTTGGGGGACTCAGTGGTCTTCTGCTCGACAGCCACAGGCTCCGCCTTCTTCGGAGTGGCGACTGGAGCTGCAGCGGTGGGATTGGCTACGTCGGCGGACTTGGACTGGCTGCACCCCATGGCGGAATATCAATCTGTCGATGTGCTCACGAGGCTGCTGTTCTCGATGTGAACAAGCAAACCCATGGCGCTGGCTTGACGAAAAGAAGCGACGTGACGAAAGCGAGAAAAGTGCATGTACAGTTACAAACCTGTGAGATCAGATGATATGTATTGACGCAGGTAATAACAGGTGGTGAGAGGCGTTTCAAATGGTGTTTCAAACCAAGTGGGTAAAGTCGAGGCACTTCGAGATATCGGCTTTGGAAGGGCATCGGTATAAGAAGCTCTCTCTAATGTAGCAGATGGATACATGTTGGGAAAGCGCCGCTGCTTCAAGGCCAAAACCATTTTTCTCATGGCTTCGCTGATACCTTCGCGCGGCGCGCGCGGCCGGCGCCAAAAATTCCTGCTGCTGTGCATATTGCACATTCCAATCTCCTTGAACGAGAGCATTCTCTTCGAAGCTGATACAAATATGTAGATACAGTATACGATAGGACTATTAAACTCGTCCGTGAACTATATTTGACGTGAAGATCCTCTGCCGCGAAACCTTTTAGCGCTGATGAGTCAAAATGTGTATGTACATTTTTTCGTTTTATCGACCGTGGACTTAGCTCAACGTACGCGTATGTTTTGTAGATCTCACACGGGTTCATCTTCCACTCTAACGTATGCAGCTTAGCAGCGATTTTAATTGCTACTTACTTCAGTACTAGGTTAAAACTTCGGCATTTCTCTCATACTGAAGTACAGTACTAGCCTCGCAGCACGTTCAGGTCCCCGCCCCCACAACGCTGCGCGCAGCGGGAAGCGATGATGCATCTACATCGAGACACATCGAAGCCTCATTTCTGCATGATTCTGATAAATAAGGCTCGTTCCTGTCGGATTTGACGGAGAAAATGTTAAAACGTGTTTTAACACAAGTAAGAGTCCACTGGTGGCGCTTTTTCAAGCTACAGAGAAAACCACATTAACTCTGTGTGGTTCGCGATATTATGCTCTAAGAGCATTTGCACCTGTTCCGTTCTAAGAGCTTTTGCGCCAGTTCCGACTAATAAACAATACTAACTGAATAGTCACGGGTTATCCCGTTGGTTAAATTGACTGTGCGACAGTCATAAACGCACCGTTTTAAGTACATTGGAACAGCCTCCCATGTAGCAATATCGGCCTCCCGATTTGCCTTTGAATTGTGTCTGGGGTGAAAATACTCTTATAAATATCAACCTAAATGTGCCATTACTCGATAGTTCGCCTTGGTCTTCGTATACATTGAAGAACAAGAACAAGAGTACGTTGTGTCGACTGTCGTGGTGACCTCCTAGCCAAACTCATCGAGGAGAGAAGAGAATTCATTACATTGGTTACAGTAATTAGTCTGGGCCAGACTAAGCCGCGCTCACAATAAATAGTCTGTCACCATGCGACACAGTCTAATTTTAAACCAAACTAATTGTAAACATCAAAATTAGTCTGTCTAAAAATTCGACATTTATTTTTATTACTCAGTATTACATTTTAAGAAATATTTAAACAAAGCTGGCATATCAAAATATCTGCAGTTTGCTCACTCTATCGAGAACGCCATTATCTGCGTTGCTCATGACCATCCTGACTACATGTACTGGTTCTTCTGTGGTATCAATCCCATCTAATGCATCCACTTAAATTTGCGTAGTATCGAGGTTATTCTGTTGTGCGTCGTAGTCGCACCTAGGTAGATACGGAGATTGATGAAGTCTCATTATCGTTGACATGTGAGCTACAATTTGCGAAGACTCGTAGTATTCTGTGCTCAGTTGCACTTTGTTTTGTGCCTTGTGATGGCCAGAAGTACTGTACAGTAAGAAAATCCCATAGCCTACTTATGGATTTCAAGGTTACAGCTGTAAACACAGCTTTTAACTGCAACTAAAGAAAAATACAACCGTTCTATTGCTGCTTCGACCTTTGTTATTGTATCTAACCTGCACAACTTTAAGATTGACCAGAACAGGCACCTCAGTAACCGTCGAATGCGGGGGTTCCATTACAATTTAATCTCAATTGATAGCATGCAAATTATGAACATTTCATGACAGACTAGTTCTGAATCAAGAAATTTGCAGGCGACATAAATTAGCTTGACGTTGAAGTCAGACTAATTTTGACAGTTTAGTTACTGTAACCACTGTAGCTCGTGGAGTTAACAGGGTTAAAAAAGAAAGTAGGAAACATGAAGATGGACAGTAGTTTCGGAACAGACTGTTGCAATCATGAATAGGCAAGGCGTATGAAAACAAAGTTATCTTCATGTGTAAAGCATACACCTGAACGAGAAATGAGATGTTGTTCAAAAATGAATTATAAAGTGCACATAGGTCAGTCGAAATCCAGAAAGTAAACCGTAACAAATTCTACTTTTTTCTTATGAAATGAGAACAGACAAATTTATGTAACACATTTATTGTGCTGTTTATTAGTGCACTACTAATACTCGTGCTTGGTTAGCTGAATATGAGTTGCTTCAAGCAACAAACCGATTCTGAATACCACGATTTCTCGAGCACGATGTGATTTAGTTTTGCTAAAATATCTTCAACAGCTTTGAATGAAATAAACGGTGGCTGAAGTGTGACTTAGAATATGTACATTGACCAGAGTTCAAATAATGTAGTTACCTATACTTTATACAACGCGCACGCTTTTTCTCCTTCCTGCTTCACTGCACACGCATTTAGTTGGCAATGAACTGCTGGAAGACTGCACACTCGTGGAGCTCTTCATGCTGTGAGATGTAGTAAAGAAAGTCTCCGAATGCCTTCTCGCGCATCTCGATCGTCTTCTTGCTGCGTCGGCCCCGCAAAAAAGTGCCTACGCTAGGCTTGGGCAGCTCGGGTATATCGTGTGCAGCCGGAATGTCCAAAGCTCGGAGTTGTTCGGCCAGTAACTTGAACTCCGAGTATCGCTTGGGGATTGACATCGATCGCTCTCCAGTTGCACTGTTGACAGTGTAAATGTGATACATGATCACGTTGTTGGCACGTGTGACGCCCAGAATCTCGTACGTCAAGTGCTCGTGGGGAAGGAGGTGGCTGGAATCACGTTCGGGTGTGCTCTCCGCTACTGTCGCATCATCAGCGACCGCTTTCGCCGTCAGACTCGTGGATGCCGTCTCCACTGTAGCCTTCGCGGTGTCTTCGTTCGTCACCGCGGTATCATCGGTGTGCACGGTGGGAGCCATAGGGGAGATGGAGGACATTCTCCTCTCCGTCGACTCGTTCTGGTTATCAGCTGGCGATTCCTTGGACTCTTCGTGAGCGGTATGCGTCTCCTTCATCGCAGACGCCAAGTCGCTCGCGTCCTCTTCAATTTGGTTGGCGGTCTCTGGTTCCTCAGTCAAAACGGGTTCTTCCATCCCTGACACGTAGGATTCGACTGTTTCGTTGGTAGTGAAGTCAGCAGTGGCCACAGCTGCGTCGTTAACCTCGACTGGTGCCTCCTCAGCTCCCGAAGTTTCATCGTTTCGAAGTGTTGTGTCTTCCGGGGTTTCCATTGACAGGATTGACGTCTCGGCAGCTTCGTAGGTTGTCGTGATCGTCTGCGTTTCGCGAGTGGTATCGGCTCCTGCTTCGTCATTGTCTTCGACTACATTCTCGCCGGCGACTGGAGCTACTCCAACCGTCTCGACTGCTTCAGCTTCCTTGGCTCCTTCGGCGGATTCTTCCTCTGTAATCTCCTGCTCGACTGCTTCAGGCTCCGGCTCAGCCAGAGCCTCCTCCATTTCGACATCCTCTGCAGAAGTTTCCACGTCTGCATGAACCTCTTCAGTCGTCGACTCCACCGTCTCAGCAGGAGCTTCCTCTACTACAATCTCGTCGGTGACAGCTTCAACCTCGACGTCGGCTTCGGGAGTGGCCTGCTCGTCTTTGACCTCGGCAACTGGGGTTTCGTCGACGGTCTCATCAGCTGTCTCTTCAACAACAGCAGTGGATGGAGTCTCCTCCTCGACAACAGGAAAAGTGTCATCCACCGCAACTTCAGTCTCAGGTGTCGACGTCTCGACAACTGTCTCCTCAATCGTAATCTCTTCCTCTTCTGGTGCCACTTGCGTCTCCCCTTCCTCCTTGATCGGGTCAACTTGAGTGACAACTTCAGGTTGCATATCGGTCTCCTCGATCGTCTCAGTATTCTGCGCCGCGGTCTCAAAGACATCTCCGCGGGGGCAAGTCGTCGGTGGCGATGGAAGCGGCGATGATGCACGGGAAGGTGCTCGAGATGAGGTGCGTGAGTTTGCAGCGTCCTCTGCATTACGCTTGGCGATCTGCTCAAAGCGGCCAATTAGCATGGCGACCGCACTGATTGGCTTCGTGTCGACTTCATACTCTTGCTGAGGCTTCAAAGTCTCGTTCTCGTCGCTTTCGCTTACAGGTGGAGAGGAGGTAGACTTCTTTTCAGCCACAGCAGAAGTTTGTTCAGGCTCAGACTCGGTGACCTCTACGATAGCTGAAGCAGCTTCGACATCCTCTACCGGAGTGGCAGCAGGATATTCTTCAGCTATTTCTTCGACGCTCTGTTCAGTCTCCTTCACCTTCCCACTCGCAACTTCGGTGTCAATAGCTGATTCGACTTCGACGCTTTTCTCCTCCGTTGGCTCCTCTTCAGCCAGTTCAGCAACAGGTTTAGCCTCGGTAGCCTCCTTGTCGATAGTATCCTCCACCAGTGCGACAGCAGGGGGTTCTTCAGCTATTTCTTCGACTCTCTGTTCAGTCTCCTCCACCTTCCCACTCGCAACTTCGGTGTCAATAGCTGATTCGACTTCGACGCTTTTCTCCTCCGTTGGCTCCTCTTCAGCCGGTTCGACAACGGGTTCGACGGCGGGTTCAGCCTTGTCATTAGCATCGAGATCTGGCTCGATCTCTTCCACTGCTGCAGTGTCTTCACCTGTGGTAACCTCGACTGCCTCAGTCCCAACGCCATCAGTCTCGATGCTTGGCTTCTTTGCGACTTCTTGATCGCCAACCTCTTTAGTCTGATCCACTGCAGAGGAATCTTCCTCACTCTCGACGCTTTGCTGTTCAACGACTTCTTGCTCGACCGCGTTCTCTTCCTGATTATCCTTTTCGATATCAGTGACAGAGGCTTCGACTGCTGCCTGCTCAGTCTCGGCTTCGGCCTCGGATTCAGCTGCAACCTCTTCAACTGCCACTTCGGCAACGTCTTCAACCTCGGCTGCAACCTCCTCGACAATCTTTTCCTCAACTGGTTCGGTCACATCGGTCTCGGTGACAGCTTTTTCGGCCATCTTCACGACGCTATATGATGCAGGTTCACTATCGACAAGAATCTTCTCAGGAATTGCCTTAGAATCCTCGACTTCAGCCGCGTTGTCGACGATAGCTTCGTCAAGCTTGTCATCATTCTTCTCGGTTGCGAGGCCCTCTTCGGTCGCAATCGTAACAGGTTTCTCCGCTTCTTCTATCGCGATCGCGGCAGTAGCCTCGTCGCTTGTAGCGTCAACGGTATCTTCGGTCTCAGTAGTCTCGAAAGTCTTGATGACCGGATTCTCCGTCCCAGCAACGGCAGCAGCATTTTCGACAGGTTCAGGCTTCACGTCTTCATCCTTAGTAGATTCAGCCACATCCTCCACCACGATCGACTCAGCTTCAGTAGTTTCGGCCACCTGGACAGTCTCCACCTCTGCAGCATTCTTCACTTCGATGAGCTCCGTTTGAGCAGCATCAACATTGGAGGATTTAGTCTCCACAACTGATGCTGACTCGGGCTCAACCTCTACAGACTCAGCTGTCTCCGCTACGTCGACGGGCTCCACCTCAGTTGACTCAGCTGTATCGGTCTTCACCTCTGCATCAGGCACAGCCACGGTAGTCTCCTGCTCACCAGGTGCAACCACTTCATCCAATGCAGCCTTAGTCTCGGTCTCGGTGATTTCCTCGGGCTCGACTATCTTTTCCTTGACAGCGTCAACTGCAGTGTTGTCGACCGTCCCAGCAGCCTCCGTCTCGACAGGCTCCTCAACTGCACCCTCGGTATCAGCAACGACAGCTGCATCTTCGACTGGCTCAGGCTCCACAGCTTCATCATTAACAGGTTCGACGATCTCCTCGACCGCGGCCGACTCAGCCTCAGCATCTTCAGCCACCTCGATGATGGGTTCCGGTTGAGCAGAATCAACGGACGCAGGCTCGGACTCAGCAACTTCTTCCTTTACCGACTCAGCATCCTCTACGGGCTGCTTCTCGATTGCGATGGTCGTCACCTCTGCAGCTTCATTGGCCTCCTGCTCAACAGAAACTGTCGTCTCATCCACAGCTGACTCGGTCTCACTTGTTTTCTCCACTGCAGCGTCTTCGACCGTTGCAGTGACCCGCTCCTGATCGGATTCTTCAGTCCCGGCCGACTCGACAATCTCCTCGACTGCATCCTCGACTACATCCTCGGTATCGGTAACCATAGCAGCAATTTCAACTCGCTCAGGCTTCAATCCTTCAACCGTAGCAAGTTTCTCCACACCAACATCTTTAGCGTCCTCGACGATCTCGATCTCGCCAGCATTCTTATCTTCGATGCGCTCTGATTGAGTAGACTTCACGTCAAGGGAGTCAACGGAAGCAGGTTCAGTCTCGATTCCTTGGTCCTTCACAGGTTCAGCAACCTCAACAAACTCCACCTCAGTCTTCTCAGCTCCGACGGTCGTCACCTCTGCAGGCTCAGAAGCCTTCTGTCCAACAGGCTCTGCTACCTCATCAACAGCAGAAACCTCCTCATTGGCAGGCTCAGTTGTGGCGTCTTTAATCGCCACGGTTGCCTCCTCATCAGATACTTCAGTCTCGGATGCCTCCAGCTCAGCAGGAACATTGTTAACCGTAACAGACTCTGCCAATTCTTCGATGTCCGTCAAGTTGACGTCCTCATTATCAACCGCGTTCTCCTCGTCGGCCTCAACGTCCGGCTTGGTCTCCGCTGAGCTGTCAGTGTCCGACGATGCGTCCACCTCCGCTGTCTTCAACACCGTCTTCTGCTTGGTCGACGCCTCCGTTTCGATGCTCCCAGTCTGAGTCGCACCATTTTGATGCTCTGCCGGCGTCTCCATGTCGGCCTCTTGGTCTATCAACGTAACTTGCGGAATGGCTGCAGAAACTTCTTGACCGGCGTCGACCAAATCTTCGAGGACAGGCTCATCTGCGACTTCAACCTCGTCGTTCGTTGCAGGGATACACGCATCCGTCTCAGCTGCGCGCTCCTGTCCGGTCTCGGCGGCGTCATCCAAGGGTTCCGCCACAGGCTTAACGGTCTTGATGGGCTCGATTTTCGGCTTCGAAACCGGCGCCGTCTTGTGCGTCGCCTTGTTCCGGAACAGCAAGTTCTTGAACCAACCGCCAGAGCTTGGAGCCTTGGGAGTCTCTTCTTCTTCTTCTTCGCGCTGCTCTGCTGCAGCCTCAAGGTCATTCGTCTCGTCGCTCACAGTGGCATTTTCCTCACCATCATCTGCCACCGTCTCCGCAACAGTATCGACAATGGCAGGCTCCCGCTCACCGCCACGATCGTTCTGCGTGTCGGCCGCTTCGGCGACGGCTCCTACCTCCGCAGGCACCTCGGTAGCGACGTCCCTACTCTTCTCCGCCGGCACAGCATCGAGTTCTTTAGCAACGGACAGCTCGTCCGTGTCAACTGCAGTCTCCTTCACTTCAGGTGAAGCGTCACCGGCCGGAGACGTCTCCATCTCAGGCGCAACGGCGGCAGACTCAGGGTCTACGGTAGCAGCGTCCTCGCCCGCAACACCAGGCAGCTCACGAGTACTGTCTTCTGTGAAGGCAGGCTCTTCGGCGTCGGCAGCAGTCTGGAGAGTCTCCACCTCAGAAGCAGTGTTACCCGATGGGACTGGCTCAGTGGCTGCAGGCTCGTCGATAGCGGAGTCCTGATCGGCATCACCATTAGCTTGGGGCTCTTCGTCAACTATGGCAGTGTCAACCTCCTCCGATGCAGCATCTTCCTCAGACGCACCATCAGCAACAGGTTCTGGATCTGCGGCCACGAACTCTTCGCAAGCAGCAGTGGCGTCAGGCTCTTCAACTGCCTCCTCCGTTGTTGGCTCAGCCTCCGACTCCGTAGTAGCGACAGCCACCGCATCAAACTCATCAGTGATGGACACGGCCGTGGCCTCGTCGGCCGTCTCGACCACATCTACCGCCTCGTTTTCAATGATCTCCTCGGAAGCTGGTTCTTCCGTCGCAGCGACAGGCTCTTCCGAAGCAGATTCCTCTGTACTCGTGTTGTCGGCCTCATCTTCTTCAAAAACAGGGTTCTCAACGTCGGCAAATTGCCGGGCAATGGCTGACGTAGACTCATCGACGACAGGCTCAGTTGCGATGACAGTCTCTGCAGTGGTCTCCACGTCAACAATTTCCTCGACTGGTAGCTCGTCCGATGCAGACGCCGCCGTGACCTCCTCGACTTCTTTAGCTGTGGCCTCGTCAACCGAAAGCTGTTCCTCCGTCAGCGTGTCCACCATGGATTCAACGACAAGCTTGACGACAGTCTCGTTATTGTTAATGGCATCATCCACAGCAACCACTTCGTTCGACTCGATCTCGTCGGTCGCCTCCTTCGCCACCGTCTCCGAGACAGGCATATCAGCCTCTTCACCTGCAGATTCCTCGACGCAAGCCTCTTCAACGGGTTCGACTGTGGTCTGCTTCTCTTCGACGGTCTCCACTGCAGATACATCAGCAGTCTTGATCGTCACTGACTCCCTAGCGGCGTCATTCACAGCGCACTCCACAGCGGCTTCATGGGCTTCGAGAGTCAGGGACTCACGTTGTTCATCCGACGACGTGATACTCAGGACTTCATCCACTGTGGCAGCAACCATATCGTCGATCACCTCTTCCTCGCTGTCGGTCAATCTAGCGTCCTCAACTTCAGCAGTTTCGTCTTCGACTTCAACATTCTTCTCCTCGACCTCACTTTGTATCACTCCAGCGACTGCAGTTGCTGCGCACGCACCGAGCGCCAGAGTCGCGACGATGTGAGGCATGTCGGAGGTGACATCGTTGACCACAGGCTGAACCTCGGTCCCCTTCTCCTGGTCCTCTTGGACAGCAGGACTTGTCGCTTCCTCCAGGTCGACATCAATAGCAATTGGTGTGGCCTCCACTGTTTCGGTTAAAACCTCTTCCTCAGGAAGTTCCTGGTCGGCCTCGATCTCAGCAACGTTGTCGGTGCTTTCCACGACGGCTTCTTCGTTTTTGGCCAGCGTTTCGGTCGCGTCAGCGTCGCCGTTGACGGAGACTACTGACTCGGTCACAGGAAAAGAATTAATGGTCTCCTCTATAAACTCCACCTCAGCGACAACAACTGCATCTTCTTCAGCAATTGAAGACTCGACGACATCGTCAGCTGCTGAAGCGGCTTCCTCGAGAGATTCTTCAACTGCGTTAACAGCCACGTCATTGTCCGATGGAGCCACATCGATGTCCGGACTTGAAGAGCTCATTTGAGCCACTGCCACTGCACCAGCGGCGACACAGGCACCAGCTGCAAGCGAGGCTACAATAGCCGGCATGTCCGAAGCAACATTACTGCTCGGCTCCGACACCGTAGCAGGATCTTCGACTTCGACCTCGGTCACCGACGCTTTCTCAATGACTGCTTCTTCCTTTTCAGGCTCCGTCTCAGCCACTTCAGCAGGAATCTCTTGGGCAGTCTCGATCTCCGGCCCCGATACCTCTTCGACGAGTTCCTCGGTCTCCATAGACTCTACTTCAGTGACAGCTTCCTCATCAGAGGTATCAACATTGGCACTATCCTCTGCCGTCTCAGTTCCAGTCATTTCCATCTCGCCATCCTCGACCTCGTCAGCAACGTCAAGTTCGGCAATTCCAGCAGCGAATACCTTGTCGTCCTCCTCGACAGTCTTGTCATCGTGCTGTTCAGCGATCGGCTCGACCCCAGCGGTATCGTCCGCCTCAGTGTTCGCAGTCCCATCAGAATCAAGGTCTTCGGTCGAAGTTTCAGCCAACTCAATCGATTCCTGCCCCGCAACAACCTCTTCAGTGATCTCTTCAACCACAGCTTGTACGACACTGTGCGCTTCAACTGTCTCCGCTTCGATCTCCTCAGTGGCAGTCTCGGTCTCCGGTACTGGCATGTCTGGTACGACAGGCTCCTCAATCGCAGCAGCAATCACGTTCTCCACCACCTCGGCGACGAATTTCTCGGATACGATGTGGATGGTCTCATCAATTGGGATGGCCTCTTCAACGGGTTCTTCTTCCTCGTTCGACTTGGGCTCAGCAACATCCGCGGGCGGCTCGACAGCAACCACTTCAACATGTTCAACCTCAATGTCCTCCATGGCCACTACAGTCTCCACAGCATGCTCTTCTTCAGCCGTCTCATCGCCACCCACTTGCTCAACGACCTCCTCCATCAAATCAGCATCTGCGGAGATGCCATTGTCACCCTCAATCTCCGTCGCTCCGGTTTCCTCCACGCCTTCCACCTCTTCCCCATTACTGCCGCCTCGTGCAAGCACTGCAGCTCCAGCAGCCAGAGCAACCGCGCTTCCAACCGCTACGGCTTCAACCGGAACCTCTTGCTTCTCCGTCTCAATAGCAGCAGCATCGGAGGTCACCACTTCAACCTCCTCGACTACGTCTGCTGTCTTTGTTTCATCGACGAGCTTGACGGTCTCCTCATCCTGAACTACCACGTCTTCGATCTGGTTCAGCATCTCATACAGCGTCGTGACCACTTCCAACTCGTCCGGTATGACGGGGGTCGTCTGCTTACTAAAGACAACTGTGTCTACGCTAACTGTCCGAATCTGTGCTGCTTGTGTGTTCATGCCGTTGTGTGCTCCACAGCCTAATGCTGTCACTCCTGCCACCTCGTCGCTGAAGCTGGAACGGTGGAGGTAGAACTCACACTGGTCCATCGTTGTGTCTTCTGAGCTATCGGTCGACTTGGCATCGTTTGTGTCTACTGTGCGGCTGCTGGTCTTTGGCTCTGCGATGTTATTGAACTGAAGATTCGCCTCAGTGTTGATGTTCTCGGTCTGCAGCTTTGTAGTCGCCATCTTGTTGGTCTCTTGGTTCTTGACAATCAGTCGCTTTGATCTGTTGTTTGGTGCTCGAATTTGATAATGAGCTTCTAGTCCGAACGCTTGGATCGCTCTCGGCTCAGCGGCATGGACGGACATTTACAACATCCGTTCCAACCTCATGGACACTCGGACAGACATATCGCTCTACTGCAGCTGGTTCAGCCAAAAATGAAACCAGGTGTCGTGCTCTCATGGCTCGCTCGAATTTGGTTATTGAGACAACAGATGCGTGCCAGCAGCAAGACGCAACTTGTATGTACTGCAGCAAATGGCACGATAAAACACGCGTTGTGCTTTATGGAGCACGAGCAGGTCTCTGCCGACTACTTTGCCAGCAGAAAACGAGAAGTTCTTGCCGTCGATGCCTTCGTAGATTGAGACAACGTAGATGTCTCGCCTTCAAAGTATATCGGCATCTAGAGTGCTGCATCAAAAAGGATCAACCTGTTGGTGCATCCAACAAGCTGTGGAGCCGAGCTTCGAACCGATCTATGTATTCTGAATGGCCTATTCATGAAAATCAAACCTTTACAAAGTTCAGAAGTGCATGTTATTTTTTTTTTTTCTTGAGAAGCCAAACTCGACACGAACTTCTTGCTGTTTTCCTACCTACGTGCCACTAACGTGGCAACAATTGCAGTGGTGACTGCAACAGCCACCGATGAGGCCGCGTAGCTGTGCTTCCGGATCTGCTCGGGGATGAAGCTGAACGACGAGGCTTGCGCCTCGACCGCAGCAGCTTCCTTTGCTGCGACAACAGGGTCGATAACCATGGTCTCGTCGATCTCGGATTCGGGCTCCTCGACAACCTTCGCGACCTCAACTGGCGCCTCCGAGATCTCGGATTGAGTCTCCGTTTCAGACTCGTAATCTGCGACGGGCTTGGCTGGTTCAGATTCTTCTGCTTGGTCGACATCCTGTGCAGCACATTCAACCAGCTCTGTGTCCTTCACAACAGTATCTTCAGTAGCCAGCTTGTCTTCATGAGCGTTCAGTTCATCAGGGATCAAAGGCTTAGGCTCCTCGACCACGTCTTCAGAAGTGTCGACAGGCTTCTGGTCAGGAATATCGCTCGACAACTTTAACGAAGTAGGCACTTCAGCAGCAACACTAGCAGATTCTTCCTTCGCAGCCTCGACTTCATCAGACTTCTCCTCCTCGTCCGCTGTCTGAGCCACAACGGATTCCACGATCACTTCGTCGACAACAGCAACAGTCTCGACAGCGTCACGCACAGTCTCCACCACCGACGTCACCTCACTGATAGTCTCTTCAACCTCAGCTTCGACCGTGACG